CTAATACTTACTCTTTTTTTTAATTAGTGCCTATACTATGTACTTCAAATGTTATTTTTCCATTTTGAATTTTTTCAATTTTTGTATCTCTAACTCACATTGGACCATGCATTCCTAATTCTGAATTGTGTGCTTCTATTCTCAACATCCTTTTTTATGAGCTCAGCACACCCTTGCAAAATACGACCTTGAATTTGCTGAAATCATACCAAGCTGTCCTTTTCTATGTCTAGAGGATCTTCAGCTTGCTTCAATCAGTTGTTTCCATTCTGCCACAACCTCCCCGCTTCCTTCTTTCTCATACCTCAGGCTACTATTTTTCCACTTCATTTAGGAGGATTGCTTCATATTTTCACATTTACCCTCAACTGGAAAACTGAAAACTGCTTCAAAAGGATCATTAAAATGCAAGCGCCTTTTGCAATATGTCCAAAATTGTGCTCTTATTTAGGGTCCAAGGAGAGCTAAAAAAAAAAAAAAAAAAAAATCTTCCATCTCATGTCCTTCTCCACAATCTTGCCATTCTTCATTTGCTTGTTTGTTCATTTTTTTAACTCAGTGAGCCTTCAGTAAGTTTCTTTACACCCATCAGAAGACATATGGCCCTTCTGCTATGTCTTTTGTTGTTGTAGTAGGTAGGAGTGGCTTTTTATGTAGACAGATCTTTAAGGGACCAGAAAAGATATATCATTATTAAAATCAAGATATATCATTACATTACCAATTGAATGGATTCCCATTTTACTATTGTCTTTGAAAGACTTCTTGAGCATGTGGAAGCAAATGAATTTTATGTAAATTCAAATACTATATTTCTTGAGATTAGCAGAAAAATAAATCTCTAAAAAGGATAATAAAAATTAATACATTTTCCCAGAATCATCTAGATAAGGTATTATTGTTACTTTTAGGTTAGGACCTGACAGAAACCAACTTTTTGAAAGAAATTTAGATTCACATAAAAAAATTGAGTGAGTTTTATTCTTTTTCTAATATAAGTCATTATGAAAAGAAATTTGTGTAATATGTTTAGATTTACACCATTTTGTAAATAATTTTCTTAAAAATATGTAGGTTTCCAAGAATGTCACAAAGATAAAACTCTAGAACAATTCTAATTATGAATATCAATGCAGAACTTTAAAATACCAAATGTTGAATACCAATGTTCACAGCAGTATTATTCACAATAGCTAAAAGGTGGAAACAGTCCAAATATCCTCAACAGATGAATAGACAAATAAAATGTGATATAAACATACAATGGAATATTATTCAGCCTTAAAAGCAATGAAATTCTGATGAATTCCATAACATGGATGAACATTGAACACATTATGCAAAATAAAATAAGCCAGACAAAAAGAACAAACGTTATATGATTCAACTTTTATGAGATACCTAGAATAGGCAAATTCGTAGAGACAGAAAGTGGAATAGAGGTTACAAGGGGCTGTAGGGAGGAAACAATGAGAAATTATTGTTTATTTGGTACATAGTTTCTGTTGAGAATGATGAGAAAAATTTGGAAATGGATAGTAATGATAGTTGCATGACATTGTGAATGCATTTAATGCCACTGAATTGTGCACTTAAAAATAGTTAAAATGGGCTGGGCACAGTGGGCACAAGCCTGTATAGTCCCAGCTACTCAGGAGCCTGAGGTGGGAGGATTGTATGAA